ATGTACAAATGCACACAGGTAAAAACACTATCTCCCACCTTCACCTTTTGCCCAGAGGTGATAAAAAATGTATTTGTGACAGAATACACAACTGATAACATGACTGTGTATTGGTCACTGTGTTAGAGATATCAGGAATTTCTGTKGATCTTATTTTCATTGTTGCTTTCTGTTGGCGGTTCAATCGAGATTCTACACCAACAAGAATCTTTTATCCGTGATCAGACTGCAGACAAGTGTTTTCCCTGGTTCCGGTCCTTCTGACTCTCTGCCCAGAGTGTTTTAGAGGTTACACTCTTCCAACACACCTCACTGAAAAGAATGGGTCACCACTATAGATCAAGATAACACCCTCATTTGAAAGGAACATAATAAACGGGATAACATCTAAAACATGCAATGCACGGGGTTCTGAAGACCAGAATTGGGAAACGCTGATAAAGAAGTGTGAAGAAAAATAGCTCTACATTCTTCCTGCAGTGCCACTGCTCTTCACAACAGGGCTAATGAAGTGCCTGACCTTTTCTAACTGATGACACCCACTCAGCAGCTTAAACACCCAACTATAGCAGCAACCGGTGAGTCCAATTAGAACTGATAACTATATAAAATCCTGTTTTGTAAAAGCCGATGGAAAAATGAAAACATTAGGTTGGCATTAATGAAACAAACACATAAAACAACAATGAATACTCAGAAAGGCTGATAGAAAAATAATCATCAACAAATAAAGCATCCCCTGACTTTAACAACTAATAAAAAACAAATCATTGTTCACCAAAAGTGAAATACTGTATTTAAACACATTTCTTTGGTGTCCTTCAAGAAAGAAAGCAGCTAAATATTAAAAGGCTGAAACATCTTTAACACCTTTTTGAATCTCATTTTAAGGTTCTGCAATGTGTTTAAAATGGTCTTTACCAGGTGAAGGTGAAAAAAAATGAGCTAAAAGCAAACAAACAAACCACTGAAATGGTGCTTTAGCATTGTAGTTTGGGTTGTTGTCATTCTGAGCGGTTAACTGTCCCAATTTGGGTCAAATCAGGTAAAATATTTGAAAAAAAGTTTCTTTTAAAATTAATTTGACCTTATTCACACCTATTCTTTCAGATCTGACTAATTTCTCAGATCCTAACTCGACTGCAGGATGCTGTCACTAAGGTCGTATTCACACTGCACATTGTCAACCAAACTAAACCCTGTGAACAACCTGCCCCCCCCCCCCACACACACACACACACACCTGTGGGGGCGCTGCACCAAGAACCACTGAAGAAAACGACACCAAAACCTCAGAGGACACTGAGCGCAACTTCCTTTGTAAACAAACATGGAGTGACATCAGATTTTTGTGGTTTTGATTTTTTTTTTAGCAAATGTGCCAAACAAATGAGCTCAGCATGAGAGGAAGATGAGGCAGAACCATGGAGAATGTTGTTTTTTATACAACGCGATTGACACGGCTCCAACGAGTAGGAGCGTCCAACTTCACAGCAGTGATGTCCACCTTAAACAGACATCCGACAAATTATTTACAAATTATGAGTAACTTTATTACTGTTATTACTCAGAATGCTCTGCTTTATAGTCCACTTCCTCATTTTGGAGCGGTCTCTAGTAGTGTTGTAGTACTTGAAACCRGTCTTGGTCTTAAGACCGGTCTCAAGACCACTTTTTGATGGTCTTGGTCTTGTCTCGGACTCGACAGCATTTGTACTCGGTCTTGTCTCGGTCTCGGACATTGAGGACTCGGAATTTTATTTCAAGACCAGTCAAGACCACAGCTGTGGAAATATCACAAAACTATTGTACAATTTATTAGTTAAAATTCTTATTTTCATTGGATTTAAAATGTAGCTACTGATTCAAATCCAAACCTGACTTATTTTCTATTTATGCATTTTTGTTACCGGCTGTCACCCATCCCCACTCTCTTCACTCGCACGCAGCACTACAGGAAAGTGAACAGTGGTTCTCTGGGAGCGGTAAAAGATGTCTTCAAAATTTTAAGTAAAAAACTTGGCTACATTATTCATAAAAAAATATCATTGTAAAACAACAACAACCAGGAGAAAGTGTACAGCAACTTGTACATTCAGCAGTGTTTCACTTTCAGAAATGGTGGGGAAAATGTTGAACTGTTATCGTCACTAATGTTAACAATCTGCCTCTGTAGCAAAATTCTTTCTTCTGCCCTCACACAAAGATTTTGTCAATATTAGCTCTATATACGGCAGGTAAAATAAGTATTGAACAAGTCA